TACTAAAGTACCTAAAAATTTAGTTAGATACAGATCCGAAAAAAATTTTGTTAGATTATCAAAATAATTCTGTAGGACGCTCAAGCTAATTATTTGAATGTTAAAATTTTTTGCAGTATTGTTTATTATGCTTGAGTGTCCTGCATAATTATTTTGATGGTTCAATAAAATTATCCTCAGATCTATATTTAACCTTTAAACGCCACACTACGAGAACAATACACTGCATTATGGTATACCCAATTCAATTGCTTATGACTTTGATAAAAATAAACATATTGTAAAAAAGTTTTTCAATCGAAACGCCAAACACTGAGAAACATAACGATCCGAGCAAAGGTTTACATCTTTATTAATGAAAAAAGTTATATAAGCAATGGGAAAAGAATTCGAAAGCATTGAAAAAGGCCGAGTATGCCATATACCGAAAAGGCCAGCTCAATTTTTAAATACTTTAGCAGAATCATTTTTTTCGTGAAGATGTTTGAGGTTCGAAGGGACCGCTCATATCGATTTTAGTTGCGTTCTCTGACCGACTTTGCTCTCATTCTCTCCATAGTTGCGGTTTTCGTAAATCAGGACGCGCACACGGTTTATAAGGTGAAAGCGTTAGACGAGAATTGAATAACGGGTCGTCTCTAGGCGGTAACAGTACGCCGGTTGCACACGCGGTGGAACTAATATCAACGTCGAAACGTGAGGAGAGTCTCGGAAATGCGGCCCCAAAAGCGGAGGGCGGCCACTGAGGGTTATCGCAAATCGATATCCATGAACTTTAACTTTGTTCGATTTCATCAGACTTCGATTTCATCGTTCCTTCACCCTCTATTGAAAAAAAAATAGTCCAGCGAGAGAAAAAAGGGGAAGAGGGACAGCGAATGCAAAGTTCCGAATATTACCGCAATTTTACTCTTTTAATATGAATGACATAATCATGATTTTGACAAAGGAACACCAGCTTTACAATACAACACGAATTGCAGCAATGAAAATAGGAAAATATAAGAAGGTAACTTACTTCTTGATTGGCCTTGTTATAAGTTCATATATTTATGGCCTCTAACTGCAAGAGATAGTATTATCGCTTTTATGCGGTATACTTATCCGGTTTGTATGTTAGACAGATATGAAACCACACACACAGTGTACGTGACAAATTAGTGTTTACTCGACGAAGTGTTTAGCTCGTTGGATGTTTTGCCGATTATGTATTGCACGTGCTCTATTAAGACCGTTTATCTTTATCAATTAAGATGAATGGCTGATGTAAATAAGTGATGAGCGATATAAAAATAATAGACCAAATTTCTTAATAAAATCCTGTCCTTATATGCACAAGTTTAGGAAATGTAATAACAGTAACGAAGAGAAGCATGTTTCTGATGGTATTACTTACATTTTAATGTTATTAAATCCCCTAAAGTCTGTAACAACATCGTCGTCGAAACTGCATTTGAAAGTTCGATGTAACCAGAATATCGAGATAATTCAGCTTTATCAATCACTGAATAACTACGAAGATATCCGTAATAAAAAGAAAGACTCGCGCGACAAGTGGTGAACCAACTGGTCAATTAACTTGATCAATTCTACGGTCATGCAATGAAGATTAGTCGATCGATTGGAACTCGACTTCACACGCTGCGCACTTAGAGGAACTCTGAAGAATTTTTAAATATACACGCACGTTATCGCGCACATATTACGTCTTGCATTAGCCGATCGCGTCGAAAAAGCAGGGAATGTAAGAACGTTTGCCGAAAATTGCACATTCTTGTTTATTTAGCGCGAACGATAAAGCAGCGAATATCTAGTTTCACATACTGACACTTAGCTTTAAGTATACACGCACGTTATCGCGCACTTCCTCTGATAAGTTCTCGAATTTTATCGACGTCGCGCAACTTCGATGCACCGTAATACATGGACGTAATTATTGCGTGGATTGCAATAACGCCAATATTTACGTCATTTCGAGCTGACGAAAAGTTCCTCGATCGCGCAATTTCTACGATTTGTTTACATTTTTTAAGATGTCATCGACCACATATCTCATTTATCGCACTCTAGGCGATGAGACTATTATCGAATTCGATTGGACGGTCAGCATTGCATATATTTAAAATCATACACAAATGGCGTAAAGATATGTGTTTATTATAAACATAGAAATCAATTAAACCGTGAAATTCTCAATACACTTTATTGTATTACGTATTTGTATATTTTATATTTCAAACTGTTTGCATTCCACTTTTATACTCAGATTAAATCAGTGTACAACGACTTTAATATGCACCAGGATATTATGGAGTTATTCAAAATGAATTATTCAATTATTTGCCTATTTCTATTTTTTTAGGGAAAATGAAATAAAGGAAGTATTTAAGAAGGGCTACGAGCTAATGAACAATTTTCAATATACGTTTATTGTAACCAACGTTTCTCGACCTCTTTTATCGGGTCATCCTCAGTGTTATTAATTTAAATTATATAAACCGCCAATCATAATTGCGCGAACCAGACCGTTGGACACATATTTTGAAGTTTGTGTACCATATTCTTTCTTTGGATTATTTAATTGGTCCTTGTGTACAATGTATATTCTTGTTATATGAATTGAGAAATAATAAACAATGTAGATAAATTACACACTCCCATTAATCTAATAATTAATATAACAATTAGAAAATGAAATAATTCCGGAATTCATTTTGACTTGTTTATGATAGGTGCCTTGTGCATATTATTGCGTCCACTCGAATTCGTCATTTATTGGAATTTCCGTAAAAAAAAAAAAAAAGACTTCGATACCAATCACTTCTTAAAAATACCGATCGTTCACACGATTGACGAACCCCGCGCGATCACAATACTAAAACAAGCGCGTTGCACCGCTGCTCGGTGCGAACTGCGGTTTCGCGCGAACGGGCCGCAAGAGCACCCGCTGCACTCGCTGCGTCGGTGGGGAAGGCGCACAAGGAAATTCGCGTGTGCACGTGCATGTGTATACACTGCATCCGTACACCACGGTGTGCAAGAACCGAGGACTCGCACGTGCACGCCGACTGACTCTGCGCGCTGCCGATTGGGTGGCTATCGAGGGTAGGGAGCCGGTCCAATCGTTTACCCCCTGCACTTCCTATGCAGTCGCGAACTTGTACCACTTGCCGACGAAGTGGTAGCGTGCGAATGCAACGCGCCGCCAGCCTGCCCTTTCGCGCAAGGAGTCGCGACTCGCGTTTGATCGGACGCGATTTATGAAGCGCAAAACGGCCGCTGTAAAATACTTGATCGGTTTTCCGTTACGTTGTATGAACTGTTTAACACTAGAACCGCGGTTGTGCCATTCTTTTACTCATCTGATAGTTTTTCTTTTCCAGTTAATTTGGATCTGCACGTAGAGTTTAGCTTTTTGTGACTTTTCATAAATAAATTATAATTAATTACAATTTACTTTTATGCGACAGCCCTCCCTCGTAGAAAGCCAAATTTATCTTGAATCGCGATTGGGTTAATTTAAACCCACGGTTTTAGTGTTAAAGGTTTTGTTATCATGTCAAATAATTTTTACCAATTTCCTTTTTCCTTGAATATATTTTTCTCACATGAATCATACGAGTATTTACACCTCTTCTGTTGTTTTAATTTTAACAACAGGCGCATCTTTATTTTTTTTGTTTTTTCGTTAATTACATTTACTATACACTGAAAGAAATCATTTTGTACGTATAAGTTAAAAAATTGTGTCCTAACCAAAATTTGGTTAGAATAGTCAAACTTTGGTTATTCTAACGGACTACAATGACAAATTTAATTAGAATAACAAAAACTTTGTTGTCCTATTTAAATTTTGATTGAGACACACGAAATGATTTCTCTCAATGTATAATTATTTTGAGAATTTATGGAGCTTCTAAAAATTGCGAAAAAAAAGAAAGAGCTGATTCATTCGATAATCATTGCGGCACGGCGGTTTTTTCCATTAGAAAACGAGTTAGGAGTGACTTAGTCTGTCATGTTTGATTTACACATATGACAATTTGCGGCAGTGTGACGCAAAAATTCGCTGCATTTGATTACCGTTTATGTAAAACGTGATGTTTACATTGGAAAATAATTGAATATCAAATTAATTTATATCACTATTAAATGGATGGCTGCATCGATTGCGTGCCCGGTGCTGCATTAATTGCATCGCGTCAATACGTTCGATCACGCGCGACATAAAAGCAGCTATCGAACGAATAACGGTGGAATCTTCAGGTGCTCCTTGTTTGAAAGTGATGTCGAAAAAGTGAAAGCCCGAATTGTCCTATGCTCGTGCAAGAAGGCATGAAACTTTCTCATCGCTTATGTAGATTCGATTCGATTCGTATCGGTAAATGTAGCGCATGTGACGCTAGAAATATTACGAGCGAATGCAATTCGACGAAGTTGTTTTTTTGCGCGTCGACCTTCTACCTGCATAAGCGAGACCAAAGAGTCAAGGTCTTGGAATAGGCGGCCGAATTCTTCAATATTTTACTCGGATTCTCGCGTTACGTCTAACAACTCTTGGAAATATTCGAAACGATTATTTTACCATAAAATCGAGTTACCATAACCAGTCAAAATAACTTAACCCAATTCTTTTTTTTAATTACGAGACAACAGATATGTCCAAAATCAGGATATAAAATGTCTTAAAACGTTATTAAGACATTTTGACACGTGCGCTGTCTATATTATTAAAATATTATTAAAAAATTATTGAAATTATGAAATTATTTTATGTCACACAATTATCCCGATTTTGAGTCAAAGTCATCATTTTACATCTATATAATTTCTCGAAATACTAAATTTAACGAATCGGCCAGTAGAACTCCTTTTGTTCGAATCATACTGAAGAATTATTTCGATAGAGAAACTCATTTGTCGCGTTCACGTTGCAAAAGAATACGCATAGAGATTGTAAGAAGAAAAAATAATGCATTTTCACATGAGAAAAAACTTACCCTCGCAAAACAGAGTGACATCGGTAAGACTCTCGCTTTTGAATAAATTCGAGAACGTCGTTGCTAAATTGCTGCCAAAACTGTTCCACTTGAGACAAAACTGCTGCTGCTGATGAAAGTCCATGATGCCACCCTTAGGCTTAACTCCGTGACCTTCGCTGCTCCTTTTGCAGCCACCTGGATATTTACCTTCTTGATCGCGCTCGTGCCCAATTGCTCGTCCAGCTACGCAGAAAGGAAGTTTGATTATTGACCTCTGTATCTCTCTTTCTCTCTCGTCATTTTAAGTTATCTCGCTATTACCTACACTGAAAAAATTAAATTTTAATAAATATTGGAATAGCTGTAAGTAAATATTTAAACAAAAACCATTAATTTTATTTATTTACCATTTTTTCTTATTGAATAAGAATTTATTTATTGTAAATAAACGTTTACTTGCTACTTAAAGAAATGTGTATTAAGATTCAGTAAATTTGTTTCAGTATTCTGTTCCTCAATTTTTTCTTTTCCTATTCTTATATTTTATTTTCATTTTATATTTGTAATTTTATTTTATGTACTTGGTTTCAATTTCTCTTATCTTGATACTCAATCATGTACTGCTTTTTAATGCTTGAGAAAATCCCCAAATCTAGAGCGTTTAATAAATAATTATATCTATCTTTTTTTCTTTTGACGAGATGTGTGTGTGTAGAAAATATATCTGCACAGATGTGTGATAAAAAGCAATTAAACTAAATTTTGAAAAAAAAAAATTTAATTAAAAATTTAATAAAATTATCAACAAGTTTTTCACAATTAAATATGAAGGAAACATTTCACATAAAACATTTACATTCTCGCTATTGCATAATTGAAATTAAAGTATACTACATTCAGATCTCGATCCGTGTATGAACACGCGATGAAAGTTTACAGATCGCATTACTGTCACCTGTTTTGAATGTTGACAACCTCGAGATACTTCATAAACGCGACATACCTCTTTCGCTTCACTGACTCCGTGCGTAATATGTTTATCGTGACAGAGAAATTATTGAACGTGTGATCCAACAATCGTTGCTTCACGCGTGCGTTACGTCGCGTCGTCGCGGTAAACGTCAGACACAAACAATTCCAGTTCTCCAGAATCGCGGTTGCACGCGGAGTGTCTTGCCTATCGGCAATCACGAACCGCGATCGCACAATGCCGGCCGCGCCATGTCAAAATTCCACCGCATTTCCGCGACGCCCGCGATAAAACGCCGAGCGAGAAGAGAAGACCTTAGCGATGGCAGGGGCGTGTCAACGAGTATACGAGCGGAACAGCCGTTCTAACTTCATTTACAAACTTCCACGACGTAACCGTCAACAACGACAACCGGCGACGCTACTACTCGAAATACACTTTAGTCTCTGTTTCGCGTCACGGATGGACACGCCGTCACTACACCGGAAGGAGAGAAAAAAAGAATAGAAGAAGTTACAGAGTCTTGCAGAAGCCACGCGCACGTGTCCTTCACGTGGCGCATAATCCGCGCGTGCAGTGTCCAGAGTGCGTTGTATCACTGATATCGATTGGTATCACAAAAAGAGTGTGAAAGTAGAAAAGTCTCGAGTAGAACTCTCGGCCGATCCCGCTGTGCGTCCGGGACCAGTGACGGCAGTGACGCATCGGTTGCGTGAGCACCAAATAGACGACTGACTATACGCACTCGCCGGCCGAAATCGAGTCACCGGCTTGCATCGCGCATCGGCATATGAACGAATCGCGCGTGACTGTCGTCGTTCGCGGTGCGACCGGGCCACCGGGCCCGGGTACGCGCGGTCGCCGTGCGGGAGGGTCCATCGATGCGCGCCAGTCGAAAAATCGCGGGCGCGAGCGAGAGGGAACGAGGAGGCTAGGCGGTAGCGCGCGGTACCGTGAGACGACGGGAGACGGGAACGGACCGTTCGAGAGGGAGAGAGAGGGACCGCTGTTGCTGTATATCGCCGAGAAAAATGTGAATATGGGTCATCGGTGGCGATGCAAATGCGGTTACACGGAATCGAGGCGTGTGGAGAGATTTCGGTGTTCTCTTCGGGCACCCGGCAAAACACGGAACCACCTTAAAGGGGGATAGGGGGTCGCCGGGTGGGTGGTCAAGGGCGGGAGATTGACCATTCGGTGGAGGGGTAGGCATTGCTTAAGGCTAGAAGTTTCGACTCTCGCGGTTCTTCGCAGTGTTCCCTCCTGTTTTTTCTCTCTCTCTCTCTCTCTCTCTCTCTTTCTTTCATGCGCTGAACTTTTTTTATTCTTTCGCTCTCGCGCGCGCTACGACGTTCTATCTTGTTCCATCTCATTTTCGAACATTATCTTCTCTCTCCGTTCCCTAACGCTTCTAAGGTATCGCGCGTCCCCACTTCTTAACCAACGTACACCAGGGCCGCATCGCGGGAGTAAAACAGTCACATACCGGGAATCATGCGGTAGAAAAAGTGCCTCGAGTATGCAACGACAACCTTGACTTGATAATCGTATGTGCTCGCAGATGTCTGCAGGTAATTTGCAAGTGAAATTTGACATGTCCATCTTGTCATCTCGAAGTTACATAATACTTTTTTCGGCGGACCGAGAATAAGCTCGATGCAGTCATACAGCGTGCTCGAATTCGGAATATTCGGATCAAAAATCAGCGGAGCAGCGCGATCGATGCTCATCGCTGGAACCACCAGCGGTACGAAAAGTGAAGGCGGAGGGGAAATTTAGGCGTTGGAGGCGCCTCGAGAGTTGCGTGGCTCCGGAACCGCGCGAAAAGAGGAGCGCGGCGAGAGACGCGGGGGGAGGAGAGGGAGGAGGAGGCCGAAAAAGAGGAGGGAAATATACGCATCGCGATGGACTAGGTGGGGATCGCGGCATCGCGTGGTGGCAAAACGCACACTGTAGAGGGAGAGAGGGGGTCCGAGAGGGAGGCTCAAGGTCGCCGCGGGGCCGCACGCGCGCCTTAGCCACGCACACACACGCGCACACGCACGCGTAGCTCGAGCGTTGCGCACGCACGCGGGTGTACATACGTCGCTGCAATACGGGCGTGTGCACGGATGCGCGCGCGCTGCAGCGTAGGTCGCGGGCGCGTGTGCGTGCGTATGCGTGTGGGCAATGTGTGCGCGCGCGCGCGTTTGCCAGCGTCGTAATTCGGCGCTCTTATGGCGGCGGTATTATGTCATCACGTTCGCGCGGCGGAAAAACAGAGCTCTGGTCCTCTCGATCGGAACTCCTCGAAATTATATACAGAACAAAGGGGCTGTGTGTATATCAGCAATTCTGTTTTAAACTCCGTCCCGAGAAAGATGCTGCAGACAATAAACGGACACGTATCATCTCTTTCTTCGTATTTTTCTCACTCGCCTACGGCGTCTTTATTCGCGTAGAAACTTGGCAAAAAAAAAATTCGACGAAGTGAGCAAGGATAAAAATAGACGCCGCCCAATCCTGCATTCGCGTAATACGCTTAAGCTTCCGTAATCGCGCGATACCGTAATTCGATATACGTCGATAGCAGCCGGCTTGCATGGTCGAGCAATGCGAAGCAATCTGCTTCCGCTTCTATAAAAAATTTGGGCAACTCGTAATGAAAAAAGAAAAAGGAAAATAAAGTGGAGAAGCATTTACCTCCATCATATAGGGATGGTTGAATACGACGAAACCAATGACGGTAGATATTGCCTGGTGAGTATGTGGAAAAGGATGGCTGTTCGTGATGTCGAGTTAACGCAAACGAGGGGGAGTCTCTCCTGTATGAAAATCGCATATCGTGGCTCGACGAGAAAAACACGCATGGCGCCTAAATTGGTGAATGGTATTTTCCATAGGACGCCTTTTAGCAATAAACGTGATCGCTGTTGTACACGGTATAATATAGGTATAATAAGAGAAAGTCAGTTGGTTTCTTCATTTTTTTTTTTACTTTCAAGAAGGAAACCGTATTAATGCATTACCATGAATACCAGCCTATCCCGATTCGATTCGACTAAGCAGCACCGCGTGCTTGATACGCTCAATGCGCTTTGAGAACGCGCTAGCGCTTTCATAGGAAGTGCCGCCGTTATTACAGTTAAATTGAAGTCGCATATAGGGGGATATCAGCGACAATTTAATCGTAAAGATAGATGGGAGTTTCTAGTCTTAGTTCCTATAACATAGCTATGCTCACGATATCGAATGCAATAATGCTATTATATTAAAAACATGCATTTTCATTGTACTCGTCAATCTGTCTAATTAACGAAAATTCACAGCACACCAAATGTAAATTAGCTCGATATAAATAAGGAGAAAGTATTGTCACGTCTGTAACTGGCTCAGAGATGATTAACATCAAACTGCTTTAGAAAAAATATTCGTAACTCAGATAGCATACAATATTTACAAAGTATTTGTAAATATTTATAAGACTTATTTTAAATATATTGTAAATATTTTTGGGTCTTAGATTGCACAGATTATCAATAAATATTTATTATAAATATTATGAAATATTTATTGTAAATGTTGCAGTAAAAGTTATGAAAGTACTTAATAAGACATTATAATCCAAGTAAAAATACTTACTAGTAATACTATTTATTTATATTTATCATAAGTATCACATAAAATATCTAATCTATATTTCATTAATATTTCGAATAAAGGTTTATATAAAATATGTATAAAAATTATTAACGTTTCAAAAAAATTAATAATAATAAATATTTATCATAAGTATTTTGTGCTGTCTGGGAATCTTTACCTATCTGTCTCTCTTAGGATAATTGCCACAGTATCCTGTGTTCGACGAAAGAGATACGTATAAAAAATGATTTTGTTGAAATATCTAAAAATTTAGCTAGAGAAAGAGAGAAATATAAAAAGAGAGAGATATGAAAATAATTTTGTTAAATCATTAAAATAATTATGTAGGAAATTCAAGCATAAGTAATGTTGCAAAATTTCTTTCTGCGCAATTATTTTGATACTCCAACAAAATTATTTTCGGATCTATGTCTAGCTATAAATTTTTAGATACTTCAATAAAATCGTTCGTTTCATGTACGAAAGAGAGATGAAGGAGGAAGAGACATCTGCATGAAATCCGGCGATAATCGTCCCGAGGGTGGAAGAAGCGCACCCAAAGGGTTAGGTTGGCCTGATGAAAATGCCAGAG